CCCTATTGAGCTTCCAACGCCCCTTTACTTGCCAGGGACATTATCGTCTTTTCCTTACCTCCATCTGTCCTCTCCTCTCCCCTCCCTTTCGCCGCGAATCCGATACAAGAAGATTGTAATTTCTTTTTCTAAATTTGTTAGAGAGATATTACATTGAGAGAATTGTAAAATCATTCTTTTCCTAAGTCTGTTAGAAAGAATAAAACAACTTTGACCGCAAATTCTTCTTTACATTTTCCCCACAAACAATATATAAGTTGAAACTCCTTCAAAAAAAAAGAAAAAAAAGGAATCTAAAAATTGCAAATAAATAAATAAATAAGAATGAATAAATAAAGAATATTAAAAAGAAAATTCTCTAAGAAATCAAGATAACATAGAAAAGAACCTGATCACCTAACAAAGTTTTTTATTCATTGTGATTTGGTTAAAATTTAAATCATCAAATCACTGTATAATTCTAATCTATTTTAAATCACCAAATCATTAGTCCCTTAAATCACTAAAGTCTAACAACAATTTTGATCTTCACCTAACTAAAGTATCTCGGTAAAAAAAAATCACTGAGCTTTTTCATGATGATCCAAAAAATCCAACAAATAACAAAGTCAAAAGCTTATCTCATTATTCACAGTATCCCCTCACATTACAACCTCAATTAGAAAGATCACAAAATCAACCATACATTTATATCTTATCTCTTCCACCACCTCATTTTGTTTCCCATTTTTATACCCAACTTGCTCAACTGCTAGAAGAAAAAAAAAAAAACCCTCAGCCAGTTCGTCATCTCCTCCTTATCGAGCATTTAAAAAAATTCCTCAGTTACACAAAGAATCCCTCAACTAGTTCGTCATCTCCTCCCTATCGAGCATTTTAAAAAAAAATCTCAAATAACATCAAACAAGGTAAAATAGTTTTGGGGAAAAATATCAGATACGCTCTGACACCCGTTCTGCGGAATTTACCCTACCGGATCTTGTGTTAAGCAATGAAAAAAAGAAATCACACCAAATCAAAAATAATTACAAGAAACAATGAACACCGAGTTTTAACGAGGTTCGGCAATTTGCCTACGTCCCCGGGAGCCACACAAATAATTTTCTTTATATTAATGAAGATTACAAAACTTGTAAAGAGCAGATCTCAACTTGAGATCTCTCAAAAGAAGAGCCAACAAAAACTATCCGTTGTTCTAAAAAGGCGCGAGATTTTACAACAGTAAAATCTCCTCTCTCTTTACTAAATCGCTACAGGACTTCAACAAAATAACTGAGCGAGATTTTCCTCTGAATATCTCGTGTATATTAAGTCTATTGGGTTAAATAATAAGTCAAAAGACTTGTATGTTAACTCTATTAGGTTAAATAATAAGTCTAAAGGTGGAATGTTAAGTGTAATAGATTATATGTTAAGTCTAATTTATTGAATGTTAAGTGTAATTTATTAAATGTTAAGTCTAAGCGTTGTATATCTTATATATACAAGATCTAAATTAAATACAACATCAACATTAGGTCTAATTGGCGTGATGTTAATTCTAATTAGAGGAATGTCAAGTCAAATAACTTGAATGTTAAGTCTAATTAGAGGAATGTCAAGTCTAATAAGTTGAATGTTACGTCTAATAGAAAGATTATCAGTCTAATCTATTGAATGTTAAGTCTCTTTCTCAAATTGGTTCGATGTTAAGTCTATTGGGTTGAATAATAAGTCCAATGACTTGTATGTTAAGTCTATTGGGTTGAATAATAAGTCTAAATATGGAATGTTAAGTATAATAAATTATATGATAAATCTAATTTATTGAATATTAACTATAATTTGTTACATGTTAAGTCTAATGCGTTGTATGTTAAGTCTAATTAGCATGATATTAATCTAATTGCTTGAATGTTAAGTCTATAGAGTTGAATATTAAGTCTATTTCTTGCCAACTAAGTACAAGATAGAAAAATAAAAAACTTCAAAATGCCCTTATTAGAATTAACATCACGCCAATTAGACTTAACATACAACGCATTAGACTTAACATGTAATAAATTATATTTAATATTTAACAAATTAGACTTAACATATAATCCATTACACTTAACAATCCGCCTTTAGACTTATTATTTAACCCAATAGACTTAACATACAAGTCATTGGACTTATTATTCAACCCAATAGACTTAACATCGAACCAATTTAAGTTAACAAACGAGACTTAACATTATAGATTAGACTTGACAATCTTCTGATTAGACTTAAAAATGCCCTTATTAGACTTGACATTCCTCTAATGAGAATTAACACTTAACATATTAGACTTGACATTCCTCTCACTAGAATTAACATGGGAAAGTTTAGACTTAATATTATTTTCATTACAAATAACATATTTTCATTAGGTAAAAAATATCTTCCAATTAGGTTTAACATTTAATCGCTTAGACTTAATATTCAATTCTATAAACTTAACATTCAACCAATTAGAATTAACATCACGCCAACTAGACTTAACGTACAATGCATTAGACTTAATATGTAATAAATTATGCTTAATATTTAATAAATTAGACTTAACATATAATCCATTACATTTAATATTTCACATTTAAACTTATCATTCAACCCCGTAGACTTAACATACAAGCTATTGAACTTCACTTCCAACTCTATAGACTTAACATTCTATCAATTAGAATTAACATCACGTCGATTATACTTGATATACAACAAATTAGACTTAAACATGTAATAAATTACACTTAACATTCAATAAAGTAGACTTAACATATAATCCATTGCACTTAAATTTCCACCTTTAGACTTATTATTTAACCTAATAGAGTTAACATATAAGCCCTTGGACTTATTATTTAACTCAATAGACTTAACGTACAAGCCCTTGGACTTCGCTTCCAACTCATTTGACTTAACAGTCCACCTTGGACTTAACTTAATATCAAAAATTGTCAAACAAAATCACGTTTATCCGGTATTTCTTTAGATTTTCATCTTTTCATGATGTTCAAACAGAAATTACAAATTTTTTTAAAAAATCGATGTGAAATTTGCACCCAAGGTGGTGAGAGGGCATAGCCAAAGAAACAGACAACATGGCCGGAGCATAGGCTCAAGGTCGGTGGTGGCGAAGGAGAATGTCGGTGTTTGAGAGAAAAAGGTTAAAGAGGGAGAGAGGAGGAAGGAGATGAGTTATGAGAGAGAAGGAGAGGAAAGAAGAGAAGGAAGGATATGGGTTATTAGAGAGAATGAGATGAAAGAAGAGGAGGAAGGAGGAGTCATGGAGATTAGATCTGGAGAGAATAGAGAGGAGGAAGGAGGTTGCGCTCGAGGTTGGTGGTGGCGGAAGGCAATACCGAAGAAGGTGAGAACATGTCGGAGTGTGCACCCAAATTCGATGGTAGCGGAGGGGGATGTTGGTGTCTGAGAGAAAAAGGGGGAAGAAGGAGAGAGGAGGAGAGGAGAGGAAAGGAGGAAGGAGGAGCCATGGAGATATTTTGAGTTTTTTTTTCATTTTTATTTCGCTCTCTATGCTTAGTTGGCAGGGAATAAGGGTTGAATCACTTTGGTTACATGTGGTTCTTAAAATTGGGGGCATTGATATAGTTTTCCCTACTTATTTCAAATCCATTTCCCACAATTTGGAAGTAAATATGCAAGACTGTTGCATAAAACTATGCATATAACTTCAATTTCCACCCATCGTGATAGTGGCTTGGAGATGTGATAATACTACCAACATATCCAAATCTCTGATTAGATCATGTCTGCTTAATTTGGAATGTGGGAATGGGAGGTGGGACCCACACCATAAATTTACTTGGTAGGAGTTCAAGATCACATACAAGCTTTAGCTTAAGTATCCTCGTGCTTACCAAGGTTGCCCTCGCGAGAGAGAGCGAGAGAGAGAAAGAGAGAGAAGAGAAAAAAATCATCAGTTCCTAAATCTGATAGCATCACCAATTAGAACAAATTTAGACTTATTTTTGGTACTTAATACCAAACAACTATTCTTATTTTCAAATAGGAAGTTGTTTTGGAGATCTTAATTGAACAAGCATAACATTGAAATCTATTTGGAAATTAATGCTAGAAGAGGAAAAAATCATCAGTTCCTAAATCTGATAGCATCACCAATTAGAACAAATTTAGACTTATTTTTGGTACTTAATACCAAACAACTATTCTTATTTTCAAATAGGAAGTTGTTTAGAGGGGCAAAAAAAAAGGAAAGAAAGTTATCCAATGGATCATAATTATTCATGTTTATCTCAAGTATCCGGTGAATGCTGCTATGATATGATAAGATTTGTTTGGTTCGTTTCCTGAAAAAATAGGAAATATAAAGTAACACTGAAAACACATTTTCTTTCCTAAACGAATGAAATGAAGAGTGACACTGGAATCATATTTCCTACCATTTCTAAGTGTTTCTTGAAAAAGTTTTATGAATCTTTTATTTTGCATGGAAAATGGGTGCAAATACCTTTTCTCGCTTTCTATAGTTTTATTCAAAAACCCTAAAGTAGCCTCGAGAATCTCCCTCCCATTGTTTTATTGAAATTTAAAATTTAACTCAACCATTATCGCAGCAAGCCTTTTCTAGTTCACTTTCCTGAAAACGTAGAAGCAAAACAAACACTAAAAAGGGACGAGCTCGGAAACAATTCTGCACAAATTCAAATTCATTTCCTTAGTTTTTCTTGAGAAATAAACAGAGATGGGAGCGTCATAAAAGGCATGACGCAACTCCTTAACTAGTAAAATTCAAGGCGTTGCTTTGGGTGGGTGGGGGGTTTCTTAAAACTCGAGACCAACGTTTTCTTCAAAGGCAATTGCGAGCACAGCTCATGAAGGCATCCCAACGCTGTGAACGGCATTGACTGTGACACGCCCTGTTATCTTTGGCCTTGCTGTAAAGCGGGTTTGTTAATATTTCACTTCCATAACAATGTTAGAGGATCTCCGTAACCCTAAGTATATAAAAAAAATTTAACCACTGAAAACCTAACAAATTACCAGACTTCGGCACTAAACAGGGGGGGTATGTTTCAAGTTCAACATCCCATACTTCAAAGGGTAAAGACAATTTTATGTTTCAGACAAGAATTTACTAGAACTGTCAAAATTACTTCAAACTGAAGGATAATAAAAAAGCCACACCTAGTTTTAAGCAAAATCACTGTCAACCCTTCTCAAAATTACTTTCCAAATGGCATCTGAGCCTAGGCAGCCGTGGATGCGGTCTTGCTGGCCGCAGCAGAGAGCCTGGACCTCTTCTTTGCCAAGCTCTCACTTCTTCGGTCCCTCTGCTCCTTCAGCCTGGTGGCCAGGAGCTTCTGGTACTCAGCAGCCTCAGACTTGGCCTTGGCCACTCTCTTCTTCTTTTCTGCAATTCTCGATCGCTTCCTCTGCAGTGTCAAGGGAGTCACCAGCCTCTGGATCTTAGGTGCCTTGCTGCACTTCTTCCCTGAAAAAAAAAAAACATAGGAAAAAGGTTCAAAAAAAACCAAGGCAAGGAAAAAGTCTGCAAAGGATTTACTACAACCTTCACTGGTTAGCAACTACTTGTTGGAATTTCTCTCTTTTTTAACATAAACAATAATGAATATTTTTGTTACTAGGATGACAAGAAAAATGTTTACGCTTGAATATTCTCAAGATGCTGAAAATAAATTCATTCAACAATATTACGTCTATGTAGAAGGCATGAGCTTCTGAAATTGACTATGCAAATCTGGAATCATAACAAGTTTCATCTCCATTAAAAATATATTTTCACTACAAGTTTCTTCATAACTAAGAGAAATGGAAACACTCATTAGAGATATAGGGTTTATGCAAGTCATGTTATGGGGGCACAGCCGATGAACTCTTGGCAGAGATCAGCATCATGGGTCCTTTATTTGAATAACCAGAATCAGAAGAACAAAAAAATGAGGCCAATGAAGAGAACATTTTACTCGTGTAACCCATGCAGCTCCTACCAAATGGGGTAAACGACGGATTATACAGATTAATTAGAACAGTGATAGTCAATATTTTCTGATTACATAATATTATAATAGTAAAATGTAGGTCGCACTTACTACAGTTGTAGCAATAAAATAAGTTCAGAAAAATGTTAGAAACCAATGAAGGTAATCAGATCTGACAGAGTACCCCATCTTCCCACATATTCTTAACAATAATGCACAACACACTACCTAAAATAAAGCATTAGCCCTGACGCAAACAAATCAAGGTATCTTCATAGTTACTTAGATAACACCATGTCATAGGATTAAGATCCCCAAGAGACAGTTATATACAATGTAAATATGCAGAATTGGATTTGTAAAACAACCAACCTGCTTTATTTGTGAATGTTCGGCGGTAGGTGTTGACATACTTGCGAACGTCATCTTCCTTAGACAGGTTGAACAGCTTGCGGATTTTGGACGCCCTCTTTGGTCCTCTCATCCTTGGCTTCTCAACATCAGTCAAGCCAGGGAGATCGTTCTCACCTTTCTTAACAATGACAAGGTTGAGAACAGAGAGGTCGGGGCTAACAATGCACCCACGAACGGACTTCCTCCTGCGCTCTCCGTTGCGCCTTCCATAGCCACGGAAGCAAGGTGTTCCTGTTAAAAATAAAACAACCTATTAGTTCCCTGTTCAAAGTAAGGCAACCTATTAATGCCCCCATACGAGAACGCAACAGCTGTCCAACATTTAATTGCAGGCAAAAATAAAGAAAAAGGTCAAAGGTACAGTCTTTATATTTACTACTAGAAACTGACAAGACTAAATATTATTGAATCTAGAGATATGAAAGACGTTCAAGAGTAGGTAACAAGCTCACAGTTATGCTGAAACTACCATCCTCTTTTGTTCATTCGAAAAAGATAAGTAACAAATTCTAGAAAATCAGGTTACACTAGGGAATACAAGAACTGGCTCCTGATAAACTGAAGAGACCACGTAGAAAGAAGAGAGGCTAGACGATGACATCAAGTATTATAGGAGGCATAGGCAGAGTTATAAGACTTAAAAATGAGCATGAGCAGCTAAGTTGCATGAAAAATGGTACGGGCACCGGAATGGATGCAGGTACGGGACACGTCAAATTTATAAAATGTAGGGTACAGTGACACGGTTATGTATATATTGAATTTAATAATTTATTACATGAGATCATCATTGTTTTCAATTCGTGTCTTATTAAAAATAAAGTTCCTCACACTTTTAATTATTTTACTATGTTGATTATTATAAATTGGAAATTGCTGCTTATTTTTTAACTAGACACTCCTTTTATATCCTTGTTTTGAACTTGGAGGATGGGCTGAAACAAGCATAACTGATATCTACCCCATTTCAAGATATGGATAAAGTGTAGGATATATGTCCAATAATTGTATGACAAATGTTTTAAATTAAAACATATATTATATAGTCAAGTACATGTCTAAAATAATAAATTGATACATAAATCCAAGGAGTGCCCATGAGGTATGGGTACGTGTCCAGTATGGGATATAGCTTCATGATAGAAGTATACCGGGTAACATAGTTTAACATGATTGGTCATAAAAATTGTACTCATAAGCAGAATTCAATAAATAGCCAGACAACATGAATAGTGTTCCTAAATGAGGCCCAAACCTCAAAATATCAAGTTTCAATTTGATTACCTACTGCTATTTGTAATGAACACTTAGCTTCTTCCATCTAGCACTCAGGCTATGTAGCTGTAACTGGCCTAAGTGTGCTACCGCTTTCTCTAGCTAGATGAATTTAGTTACAATTTTAAAGAAATCAAGGCGGATTTAGTCTTCAGGGTGAAGCTTGGATGCTGCTAAAATCCTTGAGATGTTGAGTAAAGGCCATTGTCTTTTGGCAGCACTACAAGATAACTGACTATAAATAAGATAACAAGTTTTAACTTGCCTCTGTGCAGCAGCAGGCGGACACGTCCTGGGGTCAGCACTCCCTGCTTCATCGGGAAACCCTGCTTGTCACATCCTCCCATGATCTTGAAAACATAGCCTTTGAACTCCTGTGTAAAATCATGAAATAATAGACAAATGAGAATCACAATCTGTTTATTTAGCTTAGATGTTCAAGTCAAAAATGCAAATTCAGAACTAAAAATTGTCACACCATCTATTCCACAGTCCTACCTCACCCAGAGCATCGCCGCTGACCTCCTGGGAGATTCTCTTGTCATAAAAAGCACGTCTATACAACAAAAAGAAAACAACAGATCATGGATTAAAAAAAATTCACATAAAAAAAGAGAACGTGCAGTTTAATGCTGAAATGCAAGTTCTAATTATCAGACGCGTACGAAGAGGGGAAATGGGTTAGGGAACACTAGCGGAAATGGGTTAGGGAACACTAGCTCGGGGAAACAAAATATGGTAATTTAAAGACAATGATATTACAATGTCATAAAGGAGTAATGGCAAAGCGAAACAAGTAGACCCATAAGAGCAACTCCGACGGAGAGGCTGCATTTTGCAGCCTCCCCAAAAAATATTCTCATGCATATTTTGTTTTAGAGGGGGTCACTCCAACCACACCCTCTATACGAAACTCCATTTAAAAATATATATTATTAAATGATTATTTATATAATATTTTAAATATTTTGAAAATATAAAATGAAAAAAATTATATGAATTAATTTTAAATATAAAATATATTATAAAGTAATACTAAAATTGTAATATATAATATAATCATATATTAAAATAAAATTAATTATTTTAAATGAATTGATAATAAAAAATAGATAAAAGCCTTTTAAAATAAAACCGTAGGTAAAAAAAAGATAATGTGTGGTTCATTTTAGATAGAACCGAAAATAATTGGAAATAGGGTACCGGTGTTGTTGGTCCGAAAATGCAGTCCCAAAAAAATCTTTTAAAAACCATAAAATATAGCATAATATTTGGAACAATCTTCATAACTACTCCGAAGTCCAATTCTCACTCCATAATGAGTTACGGTTTGCCGAAAGTGATGAAATTTTATATATATTAAATTCAGCGACATTACATAGAAAAATAAAGCACATGAAAAAAAATAAAAAATCAGGCAAGTCATTTCCTCCATATCCAACGTTTCTGTAGTCAGGTATTCTGTATTGACTTCCTGCATAACTATATTCAGGATTAGGAATATCAGATGAAGAACCTCCAGTTGTGTTTCTATTTAAAATCTCTTGTTTTTTAATTCGAAAATACTCGTGTCCCGAAGGTTCAGTAATAATATCAAGATTAATTAACATAATTTTACTTTCTTGTCGTTCCCTTTGAAGATCTATTTTTTTTTCTTATCATTTTTGGCCCGTAACATTATAATCTGGTGCATTATCATTCTATCATTTTCTCGTTGTCCATGACTTTTTTTAAAATACCAACAATTTCTTGATTATTTTTTTAGAGTTTCAAAGTCGAGGTTCTTTTCAATTGTCCGTCGTCTCCTCATCTTCTTTTTCTTCCTTCCTACCGGTCGACTTGTTAACATATCATCGTCATTATGAGTATATCCCTCATTATCATCATTTAAGTTGATGACAAGAGAACTTGAATCTGATCCCTGAGATAAGAGAGACTTTGAAGTTTTTAAAATTGCAGGCGATATGACACTTATATTTTCCCATTTCTCTGCATCTTTTAAAATTGACCAAACATGATCAAATAGAAACCCCTCTCTTCTACAAATATTATCCTAGCACGTTTAATCTACCACAAGAGAATAAGAAACAAGTATTAATAACATGATAATAGATGTTCATAATCTAGATTTTTGTTATTCAAATACTTATAATGTCAAGCTCAGAAGCACAGCTTGGATTTAGGCGCTCGACTTGTCGAATGCATCCTCAAAATTTACTGATGTCCTTCATAATTAATTGCATTCGGCATAAGAGAGACTTCGGAGTTCTTTGAGCAGTACAAATATTAAAAAAAATTAATGAAATAAAACAGAAATCTGTTCCCATAGCTTGTCCTTTTGATTAGAACCCATGACTGGGTCTTGAGAAATTTCGAGCCACGTAGCACATAAAATTTGGTCGTCTTCTTGTTAAAAAGATTTTTCGCGACTGGATGCCATAATCTAATGAGATAAAGTTGTTGAGGATAATACTATTATGATGGATATGGAGGAAATGACATGCCCGGTTTTTTTTTCATGTACTTTATTTTTCTATGTAATGCCGCTGAATTTAATATATAAAATTTTATCACTTTCGGCAAACAGTAACTCATTATGGAGTGAGAATTGGACTTCGGAATAGTTATGAAGATTGGTCTAAATATTATGCTATATTTTCTGGTTTTTAAAAGATTTTTCTGGAACTGCATTTTTAGGTCATCTCCATCGGTACCCTATTTCCAATTATTTTCGGTTCTCTCTAAAATAAACCGCACATTATCTTTTTTATTGCCTTCTGTTTTATTTTAAAAGGCTCCTATCTATTCCTTATTATCAATTCATTAAAGATAATTAATTATATTTAAATATATGATTATATTATATAGTATAATTTTATCATTAATTTATTCATATATATTTTTTATCATTTTATATTTTTAAAATTATTTAAAATATTATATAAATAATTATTTAATAATATATATTTTTAAATGGAGTTTTATATAGAGGGTGGTGGGGATGGTCGGAGTGTCTCCTATAAAACAGAATATGCATGGGAGTATTCTATGGGGAAATGCAGCTTCCCGGTTGGAGCTGCTCTAAATCATCAGAAGAGGTGCAGATGCGGACTAATTATACAAATAATAATAATAAATTGCATAACAATGTTAAACGCCTGCGACGTCAAAAGTTGTCATCAGTTCAATCAGTGACATCAAGGAGAGTAGAAGATAAAGATCCAAATGTCATAAAAGTATTATCGGGGCTAAACAAGCTTTTATTTATTATAGACCAAAGGAGGAGCCCTAAACAAAACATAAAACATAAAACTTGAAATGATAAAAATGAAAATAAAAGCTCACAGCTTTTGGTCGTCATCGATCTCCAGCTTCTTCTGGCACCCGGTAGTGGGGTTGGCGATATTGAACTAGACACAACAAAAGTTTTAAAAGCCTGGTCAAAATCCTAGGTCTTTGGACTACAACTCTCAAATCCAGCAGCAAGATAAAAAAAAAAGATTGAATCTTTAAGATTTAGGTTTAGCATTACCTTCATCTTGGTAGGAGAGAGATTAAAGAGCAGCGGCGCTACGGGGAAAGAGAGAGAGGGAGAAGCGAGCGCCGCCGGATTTTATCTGCTGAAGGAAATTAGGGTTAAGA